TTAAACCGTCATAGTGTGAATTCAAGTTTCAATGACAAGCGTTGTCGACCGTTACTGAGACAAAATATGCGATCGAGATGTCGGCATTAATGCTTTCTATTTGCCAATCCCTGATATTGCTACAACATGTTGGAATACAGCTACGGTTATTATTTGTTTCATGTAAAAATGAAGCCAATACCTGTAGATACATTATCTGCCGAGAGTGCGTCTCCTCTCTGCTCTGACTGCAGCGCGAGGCTTCTGTGGGCGTCGGCGGAGGGGCTCACGGCAGCACCCGCTGCGTAACGTATGTGCTTTAACGTCAAAACACCAGAAAATTCTCCAATAACACCAGAACAAGTCGCTAGATTTGTCACTAGTAGCTTTTGACAAAAAAAAGTCGCCATGAGGGTTTGGGAAGTCGCAAGATTTAACAAGAAAGTCGCCAAATTGCCAACACTGGCACCGGCTAAATATGTCCCCAGAGCAACATTGGACGTAACAATGGTTCCTCTCACATATAAAACCAAACAAAATCTTCATAAAAACAAGTTGTACAAATAATAATACATATAAACAAGCATATTAAAGCTACTGCAGATGTAGAAACAAACGTTCACTATTTAAAGACAAAGTGCATCCTCCTTTCTTTGTTAATAAAGAGTTTAATCTCACGGTTGTTCAGTACATCCGTGCGTTTTAGTTCCAGTAAGAAGTCCTTCTCCATTCATGGACGCCAGTGAAGACAGTCGAGCCTCCCCAGTTGTATTTCTTGAATACATTTTAATGCGTTTGAGGGCTGAAAATGTCTGCTCGGCAGAGGCAGCAGATATTGGGATTGTCACCGCCCAACATGCCAGGCTAGCCCACTGACCAATCACGTACTTGTAGGCCAGCTAGCAGGCTATGACACGTCAAAGAATACGCCCAACATGTCAAACTAAAGATCTGATTGGTTGAAGACTATGACAATCAACAATATCGTCCCCATTCACTTAAACTGCAAAGGGATTCACTTGTGAGTCTGCAGGCCTCGGGTCTCTCTTCTTACCTAGAGACACAGAGGTGAAATCTGATTGGATAAAAGCTCTACTTAAAACAAGCTGCACTGGAAGCAGAGCAACTGAGGAACACAGTAGCTGTCTGAGTAAGAAAATCGCTGTCTGAGTAAGAAAATAAGATAATGGGAAAAATATTTTTTATAAATTATAATACATGTAGTGTATTTAAGAAAAATGATTCAATTATAAAATAGCTATAACTTTGTGATTCTGTTTAGGCCAGCAGAGAAGGCCTTGCAGGCCCTGACAGCCCACCACTGACGTAACGTTAGCAGCACCGGAGCTAACCGCTAATGTATGGAGGTTTCATTGAGTTACATTATGAGGCGATCAAGTAATGCTTTCAGTAAAAATCAGTACTGACAAAAGGTAAATTATAACGCTATCATGATGTGTTCAAATGAATCTTGTATATTATAGTATTTGGCGAGAAAAGATGAAAGTTATCACATGTGTGATTTCCTAACACTACCTCTAAGCAGCTGATAATGCATAAATAGTGCTACTAATGCCAAGTTTTTTTTGTCACTAAAAATACAAATGCAAATAACCACTAAAGATAGATAGATATTATATTGGTATTATATCTAATAATGTCATAAGTGATCGTCTAACACTCACAGGGGCCATTTTTTTTTTTGCAGAACGAGATATTTTTACTTTCGATACTTTACAGTAAGTACGTTTTGCTGATTATACTATGGTACTTTTACTTAGTACGTAGGATTTTGAATGTAGGACTCATGCTTGTAATGGACTATTGGTATTGCATTGGTACTGTTACTTAAAGGATCTGAATAGTCATTCATCACTGCTGAGAATACAAAGTTTACATCTGAGTTGTGAGTGTGTGACTTGCTCCTCCTTTCTTTGAATTTGTTAGTTTGGCTTTTTATTTGACCCAATCTGTTTTAACATGTATGGAGAATGATCTTATACAGTAGGTGACAATGTTCATAAAAACATAATTGACAAAAGTTTTTTTGTCTCATCTTGATGGCAGATTCATTCACTTGTGTTAAACTTGAATGTACGACCTGCAGGACAATACACCTTCTATATGGTAATTTTTGCAGTGTAACGTTGGCTGTTGTGATTGTGCTCTTTTTTTTTGCACATTAAAGCTGTCTGCACTCTCACTGTTCAGACTAAATTGGGTTCATACATTCTGACTTTGTGAGGGCATTATTTCTTTCTCTGTGGCTACAGCTCCCCACTGGTATCCGAGCAAGATGGTGAAGTTGGAAACTCCATTATGGGCGGGCCCCTGATGAAAACCCATTAATGGCCCTGCAATCGGGATTGAGGTAGGGGAAAAGACCTGGCAGTGCAACCGCACACAAAGCCATAAAGCCTGATGTAGCTGCCTCTCATCGAGCATCTGCAGCTGAGGAAGAATAACTGTCTCGGTGTCTGCCGACCTGTTGAATTAAAGGGGGCATTAACTGCTGCTTCCTCTGCATTATTGATGGCCAGCTCCATTCCTGAGGCCATTATGCCTCCTATTTTTCCTCTTGCAATTTTCTGGTAGACGTCCCACTGTCTTCAAACACACTTCCGTGAGTGAAGGCGAGTGTGGGTTCAGGCAGAGGGCTCGCACTGCTCCCTGCAGGGTGCTGTTATTTTAAGCCGAACCCACCACAATCAATGTGTGTGTTGTTCCCTGTGTCAAGTGAGAGTTATCCCAGGATGACAAGCATGGCATGATGAGTGTTACGCAAGGTGCCACCTACAGTAACGAGAGCGAGGCCGCTGTTTGGCATTTGGGTGCCTTAAGGGTAATTGGGAGCTCTAAGCAGCCAACCTGACCCCGCATTAATCAGGAAATACAAAAGACATTTAATTAGCTGAAACTTCACAAATAGGCATTAAGAAAGATGGTTTATAGGATTAAAAACAAAATAGAACAAATCTTTGAATAAATGCATATCTGAAACAGGAAATGAAAACATGATTAAGTGTTACAACATAACCAAGACTTTGAATTCCTTGATCTGAACAAAACATACTCTATGATAGATCAATTAAAAATGCAAACAAAACTATAAAAATGATATGTAATGAAAAGACAACACTTCATTTGTCTTCTATACTACTGTGACAGAAACAAAAAGTGCAAATGCATCCAACAACAACTATGTACACACGAGACCTAAGTGCGAGATGCCGAATCACATGCTGCCTCAAACTCAGCGGATGGGTGCTCCTCATTCCCCACCTTTGTGTGACCTCAAAGAGACAAAAAAACAGACTTTATTCTTCTTTTTAGTTCGATTTTGATGCCATGTGCTCACTAACCGGGATTACCTCATGACTCACCTCAGCTGCCGCGTACATTTGTTGTTGAGCTCTCTCACAGAAGCTAATACTGCCGGCTTTATCTGCTCTCACACAGCTTGAGACACCTTACCTCACGGCTGACCTCATCCTGTCATATGATTTAATGAGCAGCGCTGTGTCACAAACCGCAGTGTCAGGGGTTTGACAGGTTAGGTCTATACAATGCACTAAAGATTAATGAGGTCATTTCCTCTGTGTGTGTGTGTGTGTGAGTGTGTGTGAAGGAGAGGAAGAATGACACTTGATGACTTTGGGATTCATACAATAAATGACATAAATAGACTCTGGTCTATATATCTGCTTGGAATGTAACAGCTCAGCCTGGCCAATGATAATAGCCTGACATTTTTTCATATTCAGTCCCCGGGGATTTGTGTATTCTGCCCTTTGATTCTGCCCGTGTGTGTGTGTTTGCAGAGTTGTCTATGAGGTAGATGGCTTTGGCTTTATGATGATAACACTCTCTCAGGGTGTCCAAAATCAATCAAATCCAAACCCAAATGCTTGCCTCGCATCTCCACAGGCTATCTCAAAGGTTGGTATTGATTATTCACCCATTCCTGCCTTTCGGACGGCCAGACGCAGGAGACATGGAGATGTGAAATGGAGAGACGATAATGCAGTTACTGGGGGGAAGCCTTTGTACACCAGCAGTAATGTTTGAGGAGAGAGGAAGTTGAATGTCAAAGAAAAACAGATGTATTATGATAACCATGGCGAGCAGGCAGGAGCCTAATGCATGTCAGAACACGCAAGTTCTTCTGAGCAATGGACTGTACGCAAATTATTAGGGGAGGACGGATGGTCAATAAAGGGAGAGGTTACTGTCATTTTCATTTCTGCTGATGGGAGGGTTATCTAACTATTTTAGGGGAGACAAACGATATACAATATTTATACCAAAAAGTATACTTTTATATGCACCACTGAGGTATGTTTTGCCTCATGCTGATGTTTTTGGTGTGAACATATTGCTGTGCACAATCCCTTCAGCACAGAGCAGTCACTTCTTTGCAGTTCACTCATTTTGTGGCTGTAATAAGCACTTATTTAGCAGTTCTTTATAGAACAAATAAACAGTGGTTGTATTTTGACCATTTTATATTTGTCATAAATATATTATTTTGATATATTCGGGTAAGGATCCCAAAAAATATATATATTTAAATGTATATGAATAATGGTGGGTAGGTGCCTTTAAAAATAAAATAGAATACAACATCCACCCAAATAAATGTGATACAGTCCCTAATATTTTGTATACCCACTGACAAACTTTAAGCACTTTATCCAAATCCATATCACACCATAAACTGGCTTCTTTGGTTTGTTTGCAATACATTTCCTCAATACAAGAGCAGGAAATTGATAACTAATCACATTAAATGTGTTAATCAACTTTGAAAGCCCATAAATAATGCTGTGAATTACAGTGAAGCCATTAATAACATTTAGCCGTGGATAGTGTGCTGCTGTCTTCAACGGGGGCACAACCATCCGGTCCTCATCGTCTAAAACTGGGTGAGATGAATGTCTGCACTTCTTCCTGTCACCACCACAGACCTCCACTGGGTGGCGCTAAAACACCAGCGCAGCTCCAGCAGCCTCCACGCTCAGGCTGATGATGAATCCGTCTGCTCTCTCTCATCCCTCGGATACTTCAAATCCGTTTCTCTGACTGCACGAAGACGTTGCCAAAACCCAACTGCAACCTGGACGGAGGATTGTAAAAAAAAAAATAATTAAAAGAAATGCTTGAATCCAGAAACTATGAGTGACAGTCCGGCGTGTTGTCCAGCTGCCGTGGCGCTCTGGCAGAGGAGAAGTTGGGAGTCAGAGTCGGAGGACCAGCAACTTTTATAGACTTTTAAATCCACCGCCTGCAAGTAGTCAGCAGCCCCAGTTTAGACTTATTTTACTCGGGGAGTGCGCGTCTGGAGAGCTTTGACATTAAACCAGTGTTCTTTAGGTTATGTGTTGTCGACGAGGGCGTCTTGAAGCGACAAGGAAATGGCATTTCTGTGAAGAGCAGGTCTCTGGTTTTTGTGGTTGACAATGGAGAATAAATGAAAGGGACGTTTCAGGGGATTAATTGACTGCAGCACAACGACAGGTAGGTTGACAAACCCTGAACATGTTACTGTCATATATGTTGTACGTCAAACTGGTGTAATTTGTAGCTTTTACTACGCAATGGAATTACAGACTTCAAACTATTTTATACTGCGAATTTCGAAAAAGCCTTAAAGCCTTAATAGCGCACGTGTGACTGCGAATCAGCCGAACCTGCGAATAAACTCATAGCTTCCACTATTGATCGCTTCCACTATGATGAATATTTATTAAGTTGAGATACACCGGCTGATCTACTGGAAACTAATGACTTTCAGGAGACGTGCAGGTGTAGCTGTAGGCTGGGGGAAAAAATCACTCAGAGAATATGAGATATGTGTGGCAACATGAAACCAGCGTTGGCTGCTCAAATTAGACAGAAATCATGTTTCCCCAGAGAGGGATCTGGCTGCTCATTTTGACTGAACAAAGACAAAAGGAAACGGTTTTTTCTATATGTTCATTTTTTTGAAATATATGAAAGGCAAATGTGTGTGTGTCTGTGTGTGTCTGTGTGTGTGTGGTCTCATCAGCATGCCCTCAAGTTATTATCTGATCATGGCTTTAGAGAAGAAGAATATAGAATCTAAATTTTCTGGATTTATTGATAATCTTGTGAAAAACTGGCATGAAATCATCCCTCTTTCTATTTTTGTCATTATCTATCCATCTATCTATCTATCTATCTATATATCTATCTATATATCTATCTATCTAATGTGAAAACGCTGCATAATATTTCCATATCTAATCGTTTCCATCGCCTGTACCTTGGTAAAGGTAACCCCCAAACCTAAACATGGCTCCCCACAGTATAGCCCTCTATCCAGTGATATGGGACCTGGAGCAGACTTCACAGCGTGGGCTGTGTCCTCCATCCGTGTGATTCCCCCTCAACTCCAACATAATACTAATATTAAAAAAAAAATAAAAAATCAGTTCCGGCTATAAGCGGCTTGTTGGTGACTTAAGAAAAGTACAATGCTGTTATCTTGTTGGATTATGTTGAGAAGAGACGGGTGGAGTCCCCAATGAGAACTGGCTCTTGTGTGTGCTGTCAGCTGCTCTGCACTCAGACTGTAGATATTTATGATTATGCTTACACACCACTGTGAATATTTCTCTTTCTACAACCCCTCCCCTTCCACTTCCTCTCTTACTTTTTTTTCTATCTCAGTCCATCTCCTTGCTCACTCCCTTCTTTTATCTGCCCTGGATCCTCTTGACAAGCCTTGTGCGGGCAGCTGTTGTTGTTTTTTTCTTTATTTGTTGTTTACCCCCTCAATTAGTGCTATCATCCTATTTCATCCTGCGGAATATGAGGACGGTAATAACCCTTACAGTCATAATGCAGGGTGATACAATTTAGCTGTGATTAATTGAAGTCCCCTCAGAGAGTCAAAGGAGGTGTAGATCTTCCCTTTCACACTCACTGACAGGCAACCCATTATATTGTTTTATAGATCGCCGTCAGTAGCCCTTGAAGCTGCCTGCGGCCCACTGTTATTCTGGAGGGTTTTATTGTGCAGCGTTATTGGTTGGTATTGCTGACAGGCAGAGCAAAGGCCACCCTGGGAGTACTGGAGATGGGATCCCTGTGACAGTTCCACTGTATTTGATAGTAACCCTGGAAACTTGGGACAGGGTTACTATCAAATACAGAGGAACGGTTGCTCGTGCCGTTTTTTGGTGGCACTGCATCTCGGCAAAAAACATCAGGAATGCAGAGGTTAGACAGATTAGACCGCAATGTCGGTCGTGCTTGTCTTCTTAAAAGCCACCGTCCCCACTGATATTGCAACAAACGGCAGCGCCCGCAGAAGGCTCAGCGCAGACGGAGGCTCGGAGAGAGCACTTGATATGCATGAGCCACCAGGTGATTTCCAGAGGAAGAGCACCGCGGATAAGAGGCTTGTCTCTAGTTTTAAGGAGCCACCCCAGGCAGTATTTGTGTTCTCCGCAAGCTTCCTGCTCACTCTGTCAGATCAATAGGGCATCATATGAGAGTCTGACTCGCGTTTGCAGGCATGAGAAAAAACAATACAGATTTTTTTGCACTCCAGTTATGTATGTATTCACAGCTCTGTGGTGGCTAATAAGATTGCCTGTTGAGACTACAGCCCTCCCAGCTGTCTCCATGTGAGACTGACGGCATCGCTGCAATTATACATGCAGGATGCATATACATGTGCATGTGTCTCACAGAGAACATAGCACTACATAGCACACATAGCACTGCAGCACCACGAGTTAACCATAAAATCCCGGGTGTTGCGTCATTTCAGAAGCTCCGTATTCACCCCCAGCCTTTGCAGATGTGGCTTAGTGGAACAATAAAAAGTCAACCATCTATCTACATGATTACACCCAATTTCGGCACCCCGAGATTCGCTGCTCAGCGGCGTTCATGGGCTAATGTGTTTAGAAAGCACAGTTTGTTCCACCTCTCAAAGCGCCAGCTCGAGCTGCTGGGGCGAATCCATCGGGTGTTTTTTAAAGGGAAATTCAAAGCCCCACCGTAGTGAGCGAAATGCAGCATTGTTCCGCTCGTGTGCAGCTCCGTCATGTACGGAGGAGGAGGAGGAGGAGGACATCCCATGTTTTATAGATGCCATTTAAAGGAGCATGCCCAAGATGGGCTGGATGCAATGAACTGTAACCGCGGACAAAACAGCAAGACAATAAACAAACAAATTGGTTTCCTGGAAGCCAGCAGTGTCCCAAACTCGCCCGGGCTGATCCTTGTCAATGCGGCTAGTTTTTTTTTTCGTCGTTTTTTCTCAGATTAGGCTGTGATGCAAAAACTCCACATTTTATTTATTCATGCTGATTTGCTGTGTATGTTTGCTTGTGTATGTGTATGAGTGTGAGTGTGTGTGTGTGTGTGTGTGTGTGTGTGTGTGTATATCCGAAGTGCAACAGTGTTTGTGAAAGTGGGTGTTTTCCTGAGTGTTTGTGTGAATGATTCGTTTGGGCACATCAGGCATGTGCAGGCTTCTGTATCTCTTACTGCTCTATTAACGTTGTGTGTGTGTGTGTGTGTGTGTGTGTGTGTGTGTGTGTGTGTGGTAATGTCATTGTATTCTATCAGTTCCTTCTGCTGTTTTACTCAATGTGCATGACTGGAGTTCAGACAGTGATCCTACAGGGCTCGATCGTGTAAAGTTCACATAAACACGTTGTGCTAACTCGAAGTAAACAGCTCATGTTATGCATGCATTCAAGGTGTATTTGTTTGATTTCTCTGCATAATAATATTTAATAGAGTTTGAAGTAGGAAGATCTATACCGGGCCTCGCTGGTTTCAGAATTAAAAGTCCCATTCATTTTTCTTTTAGACAGTGTGAGGTGACGGACCGTTTGGATGGTCATGAGATTGTCTTGGCTGAACCGTCAGCACAAAGCTTCTCTGTTCTTTGTTTACATAGCCGAGCTTGCCTTTCAGTGCATGTGAGCTACCCCGCTGTTTAGCTCGCTGCTCCGCACTGCTCTCATGTGGCGGGTTATAGACAATAACGCCATCACGACCAACAACGTTGTCCAGGAAGCGTAGCTCCCATCTTCCGGTTCCCCTTCAGGTCAACACTGTTAGCTCTGTCAGCACTGTTGCCGTTGTTTTCACTGTTAACACCGTCAGCACCGTTCGCTAACGCCCCGTTGAGAGCCGTGTGTAGGCAATAGATACGCTATGAATTTGGTGTTGAGCACCTTTACCCCAAGGCTGAGAAGCCATGTTTTGCTGCCCTCTATGTTTTTTAGTTTCAAGCCTTTTGACCCCTTTAACCACACCCAGCATCCCTGTTGAATGATGTCACAGCGTCCGGGAGTACACCTTTACATCATTCTAGCAAAGTGAGGACTTAAACCAATGGCAGAAAAAGAAGAGGGTGATAAGTTACTCTTTAACTACAGCTCCCAAGATGCATTTCAGTAAGAGACATCCAATCACAGAATCTTTAAATTTGTTGTTATGCATGACGATAATATCATGGGGAGTTAAAGATTATTATGTTGAGAAAACAAATAATATAAAATAAATATGTCTCTTTAAATATCCTATCTTATTGATCGTCTTTTGACCCCCCTTGTGATCCTGATCCCCAACTTGGGACCCGCTGCTGTAAACAAACCGTAGGATTTAGTGGTTTTAGATCACAATACGATGGTTTGGAAATGATTCTTCTTTCTTTTGAAATGTTTCCATCTGGATTCCCAGCTTACTTTTTTCATGAAGGTGATGACTCCTGCAAGCAAACTCACATTTCCTCAGCCCAAATGTTCCCGTCCATCCTGAACAAACTCTGTGCACAGTGGAGGAGTCACGTGCCTCGGCCTGGGAATTTAACCAGCTGACTCCTCAAGTGCTCTGGACACTGAGGACAATGAGGTTTGAGTGGAGAAGAGCCTCAGCAGAGCTCAGGAATCCACTCTTCCATGGAGGTGGTTTTCAGGCTTTAAAAACCAACCCCCTTTCTCTCTCTCTCTCTCTGTCTCTCTCTCTCTCCATCAATCTACTGCTGTTCCTTTTCCTTGAGGTAGTCAGCATTTGGCAGCTTTCACTCTTGATAATTCCCATCAACTCGTTCTCCAGCACAGCAGCGAGCAACTCAATTCTCCAAGCCCTTAACCATTGGCCCGGTGAAAAGGTCTGGGAATTGCAGATTTTTAGAAGCCCACTTCTAAACCCAGGTTCCTATTGGAGTTAGGGAGCTCTCATTTTCTGTTGGCAGATTTTCTCTCCCTCTCCTGCAGTGCCTAAGGATCCTCAGCAAATGTTTTTCCTCTCCTATACTTCTTTTCCGGTGTTGTTGTCAAGCTCCACCTCATGTGTGCAATCATTAGACTGCAATTTGAGTAGAACATTGCAATTACAGGGGTTTAAAAATGAGCCTGTTATTTTCTACGCTTGTTATTTCTTTGTCGAGAGAGCAGGAGAATGGCAATCTCTTTGTGATTATAATTAAACAAATTAGACTCAGAGAAATTGTCAATTAATGTCAA